GAAAAAGAGAGAAAACTAACCATGAAAAGAGAAAGAAAGTAAATGATGTGGAAATCAGATACCTTTTAAATGTTACTTTAGGAAATTTTTCGTTGAAAGTATTATGCGAAAAGTTTGAAATTTTATTTTAGTACTATTCTGTGGTATGATAATTTCAACAAAATTGATATTAACGCAGAATTTTCTCCTTTAAACATATCATCCAATATAAAAGCATAAAGTTTAGTGTGGGAAAATTTCAACAACAAAACTTTTGAATAATATTGAAGAGCTGGATTTGAAATTGAAATTGTTGCACTCAGTTGAAATAGGCTAATTTTCAAGATTGATAAATTCGAACAGATCATTTCTTTTGTTTCAAAAGTATTATTCTGATATGATAATTTCAACAAAATGAATCATCAACAAAAATTTTCTCCTTTAACATCATGTATGTGAAGTTTTAGTTGAATTTAACGAAAGCAAAGAGATTTAAATTGAGCTGTCATAGAAAGGAGAGATTAAAATTTCAGCATGAAAACTAGCAATGGAGAGAATGAACGGATATACATATATATAGCATATTTATATAAATAAATAATTGAAGGAGAAAATTTCAACTCATAAACTAAAATCAGCAACAGTTATAGAGAAGCATTAATTCATATTGGTTTAGTTAATTGTAATATTTGATAATGCTTTTGCTTACTTTAAATTAATAATGCTTGTTTTAAATTAATATAATAATATAGCTTACAACTATTTAATAATAATTTTTTTGTTTCAAAATTTTTTTATTAAAATAATGATGGCAAATTTAAAAACGATCTATTGCAAGGAGTGAAAAAAGATATTAAGGTTGAGAAATTGAACAAGAAAGTAACTCTGATTGAACTGACAGAAACAATTTGAAAGTTAGTTTTAGTATGAAAATTGAAAACTGAGCTTAAATTTAATCTCAAATTCTAAGAATGCAATCTCTTTAGCTGTCAACTTTCATTTTAAATATTTTGCTTGAAATGGTATAAACTATCATATGTTTTCCTCATTCATCTATTCATAATATATTATATTCCTATTCGTAAACTAAATACTATTAAATTCGATCTGTTCACTCTTCCATATTTAGCATTAAATTTCTTTCATTATTTAATTAATGCAAAGATGATATTATTAGCGATCCCATATGTATATATTTGTTACAAAGAGTTTTTTATCGCTGCAAGTTTTACAAGTCTATCATAGTCATAAATTAATTAGGCTGTTGCGATACATTTGCTGACAAAGAGTGTCACATCATTTATCATTACATATATCTATCATAGGGGAAAGCATTCATTGCTGCCAACTTCCATTTTTTTTTCTTTCTTTGAGAATTGAGAAAATGATTCTCTCTTACTTAATGCATTCATTATTTTAATCATTTACAGAGAATTAGATAATTAGTTGACATCAATGAAAAAAAATCCCTACTACTGACACCTTTATTTTTGCTGAATAGAATTAAAATTATAAAAGCTGCGGTATAAGATCAAGCAGAAATTTCCGAAGAGATCATCGGGAAAAATAACGTCATGATCCTTTAAAGGAAGACTTCCTGATTACTATCGATCACAACAATTCAATTTGATATTATCATTGAACTTTAATTTTCTTAGCAAAAATGAACTTTTCAATTGACTTTAGAATCCATGTTCTATTTTGAAAAGAATTCAATTTTTTTTTAGATTTATAACGATCATTTCAAGGAAAAACATTTTAGAGATTAGCTATGTAGCAATAATTAATAGCAATGCACGGTGGAAGCAATTTTTAAGTTTCGTTATCAATATTTCAACATTGTAATAATATAGAATACAAAGTATAAGTTCTTTTATCAGGTAATTAGACGCTTGTATGATCTGAGTATTAATATTCTATATTCTAAATATGCCTATAAGGCTAACCATTTAACCTACTAATTATACTATTCGCAGCTGTCTTTAAAAGAAATAGTATTAGGAAAGATGAAAAGATAATGAAATATATGTATATACTTAAAATTATGATGAACTAATCAAAAGTAACTGACTCTTTATGACTTCTATTTAGCTGTTTACTATTTTAATAAGTATCAATTGCAGAAGCAAAAAAAAGTACAACAATATATTGAAATGTAAAATGAAGTATGATATCTTTAATTTTTCTTTTTTTTATTCAACACATATAATTAATTAATTAATACGATTTAAAATTATCATAACAAATCGCTTTCAAATTTTAACAATCCTAACTGGACAGGTCATTTTGCATTTCAAATTTCTTTGACAAAGATAACTTCAAAAGAAAGAAAAATCAATCATTACGATAAGTGCAAATAAAAGCATTTGGAATGAAAGTTTGAAGTTATAATGAAAATTGAAATAACTTATTTCCAATCTATTTTCTGCAATTTACTTTGAAAGAAAAAGTTGCTGTGAATTAATGTGAATGATACGAAACAAAGATTTAAAAAAAACTGCTAATTAAAAGTGTATCGATTTTTCCACCTAATTTTTGATTAAGTTAAATAAGAAATTTCGTGCGATATAAAATTCTTTAGAGACATTAAAGAAGACCATTTGAACCAATTCAATGGGTATATACTTAGTGACAGCTGTAAAAAGAGAAAAAAGAATATTGAGAATATTTAAATTATAAAATAGCGCTATATCTATATTTAGTGACCAGAATGAAGTAAAGTAGAAGTAACCAAGTGAAATGTGGCTGGCATGAGAAATGACGGATTAAAAAAAATGACTGCAAGGAATAGAGAGATATTTAAGCAAATGTGATAGTAGGCACAAAAATTGTGAATTCAAAAAGAGGAGACAGAGCGAGGGTCGTTGAAGAAAAATGCCTTATTTTATATAAGCTCATTCAAAGTAGGTATTCGTTCGTCGGGGGTTCCTTCCTACCAAGCTAGTCGAAAAGTGGATAAATAAAATGTAATGGAAAATATTAATAATAGACAATCAAAAATAATGATAGTGAATATAAGGATGCATAATGGATTGGTCATAATTGATGTATCTTCTGGTACCATCTAAATATTTTGAGAGTGACAGAGAAGAGTTTTATTAAATATTGGTTAAAGATGAAATGATTTGATCTATCCATATAAAATCGTTAAAAAAGTAAGCCATGTTATTTGATCAGAACGAGATCAGAATATTTTGGAGATAAAACAAAAATATTTCACTTGTAGTAATTTTGTAAGTTATCATTTTCTATTTGGATAATTTCACTTGTCTAGTAGTAATTTTCATGATAAACGATCAACTATCATTATAATAGATGATAGTTGGGAATTAGATCTGACAGAAATATTAATCATTATCATTTATGCTTATCTTCTTTTATAACTAATCAAAACTATGCAATTTGAACAATATGCTAAGAGAATCATTTAATGAAGTCTAGTCTAATCAACTACTTTTATATATGTTATCATTTGATAGCTAATCATTCAAGTTAACTGACCATTTGCCTAAGCTTTGATGATCTCATATGCCAGAATATCTTTGATGATCTCATATGATCGTTTCCGTATTATGATGAATTTATTGATTACTTTTTGCAGAAAATATTTTCTAGTGTCTTGGCTTATATAGGCATATATTTTTTTGCTCTTTCTTTTTCTCTCCTTCCTTACACAAATTATTTTCGATTCTTTTCTCTCTACTTTCTTAGCAACAATTAGATTTTAAATGAAACAATTAGATTTTAAATGCTTCACACCACCCATTTCCTCTTATACTTCCTTCAATTGATTAGGCAAAAAAACCATATCCCATCTGAAGTTTATCATAAAGATAATTTTCCACTTCATAATTTATAATATTATTGGGAAAAAGTTAACATCAACGAATTAATTATTTCAGAGATAAATGCTTACACATCCTCTCACATCCCGTATGGTTAACAATTACGAATCTTTGTAGGCCTAATTCATTCAATCTCACTGCTAATTTTAATTTTAGATAAGGAAGTTTAGATAGGAAAAAAAAACTAATTTTAGATAAGGAAATTTTGAATACTTAAAATTGTATCCTTAAATTTCACATTTTTCTTAAATTTAAAATTAACATTTTAAAGCGAAAATGAACCGAAAATAAAAATGTGCAAGTTCTACTGTTATTTTGCAAAATTTAAAGAAAGCTCTGTTTTTAGAGAAATAATCGCTTATTTCTTCTAAGACAAAAGATACACATCTAGGAATAATGATAAACAAGAAATGGAAACAATAAAGCAATAGCTGCTAATAACGGATTAGTTAAAGTAGCATTAAATTAGAGGCATATTTGCTCGATATGTATGAATATATCGAAATTCAAAATGTAAAAAATAAACATCCAAGAAATATAGAAGATAGGCAATTGAAACAAAGGACTGAATATAAAATAATAAACAAACAATCAAAAAATTTACCAAAAAGGATACATGTGGAAAAGTATAGTTTAAGTGAAGTTTTGACTCTTTCCAGTCAAAACTATGCTTTTCCACATGCATCCTTTTTAAATTCACTTATCTATTTTTATTACTGATATGCAAATTATTCAGAGAATTTTCAATAAAAACTAAAGTTGAAATGTCATGCAAATGATGAAATGTTTCACAAGCTTTATTCACAAATTTAATGCAGCATAGAAAATTGAAAAGGATCTGGAAGGCAAAAGATTCGACAATATGTAAAATAACATCAAATAAAATACTTTCATAGTAACTGTAGGAATGAATTTAAAACGACAGCTACAAAATCNTATTCACAAATTTAATGCAGCATAGAAAATTGAAAAGGATCTGGAAGGCAAAAGATTCGACAATATGTAAAATAACATCAAATAAAATACTTTCATAGTAACTGTAGGAATGAATTTAAAACGACAGCTACAAAATCATTAGAGAACTGAAATAGAATCTATATTTGTTTTCAGGGTGTAATCAACATTATTTAAATCCACACATTTTACCATAAACTAATTTCAACAGTAATTAAATCGTCATGAATTTCCTTTCCAGCAAAAAGTACCATCGGAATAAACCTCCTTAAAATGAAGAAAATTAAAATTGAAAAAATCTATTATTTGCTCCATCAAAATAAAAGATTTGAATTGATGAATATATATTCTTTCTATGCATTCTATATAATGTTCAAAACTTTTCTACAAAATACTGACACACTCGTTGAAGCTTGGTATGTGCTTTTTCTTTTTCAAATTTTCAAATAAATCTACCTAACAACCAAGTTTGTGATCATTGGCATGATAATAATGAATACCGTGACAAACTCTACCGTTTATTTGAATAAGAAGAACTCCCCTTACCTTTTTCCAAATAGGAATTCGACTTTTCAAATAATCTATTCCTCTCTCAGTGGCTCGAAATGCATCTTGTCTATGAGGTGCACTTACTGCCATTATTACCGATGCTTCTCCAACAAAAACTTCCCTGAAATAGACATACGAAATGTCACGATAAAAGTAGCCAGAAAGAGAAAAGCAGACAAGTACGAAAAGAAAACATCAATTTCTTAAAGCATAAACATAACGGCGTGGTCAATCGTCGTCAGTTATTTATGATTTCAAGACAATTTTGTGACCAATCATAATTTATTCTGGTTCAGGAAAAAACCAAGTGGGAGCCATTCACAAATTCCACGCCCTGCTCTTAGATGTAAATATAAAGACTTACCCTACTTTATGAATCAACGCAATTCTGTCAACTGAAGGGTAACTTTCTCGTAACTCATTGCACAACTTATCTAACTCCTTATATACCATTTCATCGTATGCCTCAAATTCTAACCGAACAACCTGTTTATCATTAAAATTATCCCTTGTTGTTCCTACAAGGAAAATTATAAAGGAATTTTATACCAACTTTTAATTGTGAAAAGTAATGAAGTGGCAAACTGGCAATATAATGTAAAAACAACTACATTATTAAAAGCGATGAAATACTTAATCTTTACAATGATCATATCATATTCTCTTTTCTAATGCTATAATTGACACACACAAATCTTCTTAATATGGATCACATCAGACACAAACAGAACAATAAAAAGAAACTAATAATAAACAAACAAAAACAAAACAGTCAAATAACAAATAGAACTATTTCAATTCAACATCAAATATTCCGAAAGAAAAGAAAGAACTAGAAATCCAAAATTAGAAATCATAGTTAAAAAACAATATATTAACATTAAAATATCCACAAATAATAAAGTAAATGGCTATTGCCAATATGATATATCAGAAATGTTTTGTACTACTAACCCAAAAATATCGATATACCGCCACTTTTTGGTTTATTAACAAATTTAAATGCGTACGATAATTGAAGTTCATCAGCTTGAATCAACAATAAATTTTTGGATAGCTTTGAAAGCATCTAAAACAAAGGAAATTCTTATAACATTTCAATTAAATTCATTATTTAAGTCTAAGTCCCTCTACGTTTTAAATTTAGCTCTAAACTTTCTAATTTCAATTCCAAAGTCGAAATTTATTTAAAAATGAGAAAAGAAATCATATAAAAGTTCTTAAAACATTAATAATAGTAATTAAGAATAACTGAAATTCACCGTTTTCACTTCTAATTCACTGGAAAATCCTTGAGTATTTCCATCAACAAAAACAATGGCTGATGAATGACGAGCGAGATTGTAAGCATTAGCTAAATGATTCCTGTATGAGGGCCAAATAATTTCTTCCATGTATCTGAAATTCGATGAGATGATAATTTAAAAAATATTTATTTAGCAATTGAATATCAACCATTTGTTTGTTAGGATGTCTATTTAAATACTTCAGGATGTCTCGGAATCAATCTTATCGCCATAACCCGATCCTCTAACTTAACTATGAATAACTATTATCATAATCATCAGAAGTAACTTGCTAGTCACTGCATGAATGGACGAATTTTGGACAGTATCTGATGTAAACTGATTTAAGATACCGCCGCTAAATAATATTTGAACCCACCGAGTAGACTATGTTATCCAGTAAGTCAATAATTGAGGAGTTAAGAAGTTGGTTTTATGAAAAGAAAAGAGAGAAAAAGTGGCCTAAAGTCAGGTCCAGATAGTAATCTTTAAAAGACCGAAAGTGAATCAATTATTTTCCAATTTCTTTAGATCAAAACGCAATTTCCCTTCAAAAATTTTGAAAATCCAAATTGTTCTTGCAGTCTCACAAAGTGAAATTGACAAACACAAGACTTCAACAGATTTAAATCCTAAAAATGAGTGGAAAAAATACCCAGATAAGTCCGCATGGTCATATTCCCGATCTGCACGTCTTTGTTCGCATAAATTATGATTTAATGTAATAAAAATAGATCGGTGTAGCAGCTCGCGCAAACTGTCGATTTCCAGAATCAAGCTCCCTTCAACAATTACAAAATCGTTCGCAACAATCGCTTTTTGTAAACTCAACAGGAATTTAACCGTGTTCAACTGAAAGGAATTATAAATGGAAAGTAAAAACTAAGTCATCAGCCTATTCCCGACTTACAGAGCTGAAGCAGAAACGCTTTGATTTATTTCTCATTAAACCTTACAAAAAGATTCGAGAGATTTTTCAAAATTCTTTCGCCATGAAATTCAATATTATCGATAAGAGTTATGATCTTTAAAATTTATGATTTTAAGTTAATATGGTATTATTTATTTCAAAAATAACCGTATTTTAACATTAATTGAAAAAAAAAGAGAGCATCACGATGGCATTTTTGGAAATTTTCTGAAAATTTTTATATGAAAATTGATATATCAGACAAATTTCTACTTAATGTTAAAATTATTCTGAAGTTTCGTTCCATAGTTCATTATGAGAAATGTAGAAATAAATGAACTAAACCGAATTTAAACATACCGCTTTTATTGTATCATAGTTATAAAATATGATTTTTGGATTTGCGCGGCTTACAACACGTTCCAGTTGTTCCTCTGGATAATAGAATACATCTTGACAAAGCACTGCTACTCGCATACCTTCGTTAATCAACTTAAAACATAACTTTCTGTGTAAACAGAGAATTACAGAAAAAAAATGTTGTATTTAAATTCTAATCTTATTTGTAGTGTAGCTTAAATCACATGCATCATTTTTAACTGCCTGATCAAATGAGTGAGTAGCACCAAATTATAGTAAATTTTAGTAAATAATTTAATTTCTTTTCACTGTTCTTGAGAAACTGTAGTCTCAATTACTCTCTATCTTACCTCTAATATGAGCTGGAAAGAATCAAGAAATATAGCCTAAACAACTTTAAGTAGACAATAGTAATTGCTCTTAGAATATAATCGAAAAAAATCTGTCACAAATCTTACGGCAGTGGATAACGTTTTTGAAAATGTTGTTTTACCGCTATTTGAACATCCAGCAATACCCAAGACATAAGCACCATTATTTGTTTTTTCATTATTCATTTCATATTGTCTTGGCCAACTTATAAAATCTTTCAAGATTTGTGCAACTGAAATGTAAACTGAAAATTTGAGGAAAAATTCAAGACCTAATTTAATAAATGAATTCAACAGAAGCAAAAAATAAAACATCCCTTAGAGCTATACGCTAATGCTAAAATAAGTAGGAAATACAGCAGCATAAGAAACGAATTCCTATTAATGACGCCGTTCAAATGTACAAATTACAACATTAGAATGTGCAAGCGTTTTATTGTAGCTTGACGAAAATACTTACTCGATTGGGTAGCAGGAGTTGACTGAAGCATAACTTCATTAATTAGATTAGGAGTGACATTAATTACCAATTCAATCTTTTAAACAAAGAAGATAATGAAAGGAACATATCATTACATATACAAACATTAATTCGATGTATCACAATTTACTGGATAACTGAAAATAAACAATAAAATATAGAAATTTAGAAATTGAGTAATGCGATAGGATCTTGGCAATTCTATCACCAATACAAAATTAGATTCAGTTTCAGAAGAACTAAATTTTCTCTCCCATTAAAGAGTCTGGAAATCAAAAGCAAACGATTTGAAAAAAGTAAGTTCAATCTCAGGTAGGAATAGTAAAGAAAATCTTAGACTAACTTACAACTCTGCTAATTTTGCATTCGCAAGCATATCATTAATGCTTTATTAGGCATTTCATTAAAAACAAAAATAATCCATAATGCTTCCGGCCGTTAAAACAGCTGAATATCCATTTGAATAAACCTTATTTTCTGAACAACTTTAGTAACAAAAATATTTTTATTGATGAATTCACTTTCAATAATATAATAAATATTTCGAAATATATTTTGAGCTAATAAAAAGCAAAACGAAAAGAAAAAATGCATTATTTTGCGACAAATGAGTAACAATTATTTAAACATAACAGTAATTATTTAAACAAAACATAATTAAAGAAATAAACAAAAGAAATAAATGAATCAGTGTATCGAAATGGATGAAACACATAAATAAATTAAAAAGCTATAAAACGAAACATTGCAACATTTAAACAAAATAAACATGTCTTCAAGATAAAAGCCTCTGTCGTATTTAATGTTGTATTACTGCTTTTCTTTGTTAAAAGGAAAAAATTGATATTTGGCAAAGTTAGACGTAAATGATTCAAAACATCGATGTAAGCGAAATTTTGGAAGTTATTAGAACAGGATATTGTAGTTGAAGGAAAACTAATCACTCATAACTTCGGCAAATATGACAAAGAAGAGATCTTAAGATAATTCGGTGTTGACAGAAAAAAATTATTAACAAGAAGAAAAGATCAATATCAAAGACGAGAAGTAAAATCTGCTTGAACAAGTGATTTAAACACACCAAATGTTAATTACTGAAAAATTTAAGATTAAGTAGGTAAGCTCAAGGAAGATTTGAAAATGTTTTAATTCAAAGACTACCATTTAACTAATCAAAAAAATAAAAGAATGGTATGATGACTGGCTGGCTCTTTCAAGATATTCACACACGAACAAATATATCATGCAGTTACAACAACATGGAATGCATCCCGAAAACAAGAAAGTTGTCTTATGATGATCTAAGCAGATAAAGCAAAAAGTTACAAAATCACCAAGCTAAATATTTTGTATTTCCAAATATTGCTAATTCTTCCAACAATCTTTGAACCACCATAGTTTAAAAGGAAAGAAAAAGAGCTTAACAAACAAATATTTACATTTTTTACAGCCTTATTTCGATGAGGATTTGGTTCTTCGAAATGAATTCGGAATGGAATTAATTCCATTCCTGCAAATTATGTGATTCAGGAATTAAACTTATAAAGTTACATAAGGAGCATTGATGTCGATCTTCTCTACTGTTTAGTTATTATAATTAAATATAAATATTTTAATTCGATATTCTATCACAATTAAACATTTTGTGGATAAATGAATAATCCAGTGTTGAATTCAAGGAAAAACACTATACAAGTGATGAAGTAGCAATTTTCTTTTAATACGATGAGTTAAATTTCAATTTCAAATCCAACTTACCAATGTAGAAATGTTATCGGAAAATAATCTGTTATGAAATTTCAAGTTCTGAAAAATCACATTGTTTGGCAAATGCTTTGCTTATCAATCAAGTTCTTCTTTTAATTCCAAATACTAACTCCGGCCTAATGAACAAAACTGAATAATTCTGAATTAATTCTGAAAAACAAATTTTAATTAGGTATAAAGCTATTTACTTGTTTTGGAATTAATGATTATGAATAAAATAATAAAAACCAATTGACACAGACATCATTGAAAGTGATAACGATTAAGTAATAGTAGCGATTAATAGCAGAGTAAATCAGAGATGGTAGCTAAAGGAATGTGACTTATTGATTAGATCCTAGATATAAAGTTACCTGAGCAATGAGACTTCAAAGAATTAAGTTTAAAAACACGCTAACTATGACAACATCCATTTTCATTAAAATGTGAAAGAAAAATATTATAACTTAGAAGTCTGACCACTTAAATGGACATTGCTGAATACTGTTGATAGCTCTTCACTGAACTATGGGAAATCAGTATCATTAGTTGATGAAAAGTCAGTGTCATCGGATGATGAAAATTCAGCATCAACTATAAGAACAATGATTATAGAATACCACAGATGTCAAATTATTAAAAATTTGCACTAAAAATTTCTGATGAGTTTATTAATAAGATGAGCAATGAATTTTCTCATTATTTATTGTTGACAACTATTAATGACCTTACAGTCGCTTACTGTAATTTTGTGATTTATGCATTATAATCCTTAAGCATGATCTTAGTTTTCCTATAATGATGAACCGTAGGAGATAATTTGTAAAACTCACGAGAGGCTGGTAACTGATTCTTTCTGTTTCTTTTCAGTACATCAATCTAAAAATATTACAGATACTAGAAAATTCTTCTATAAAGAAAGTTCTAATAAAAAATTTCCGGAATCCTTTATGAAATTAACCTTTAAAGGACTTTCATTCTCGCATCCATCACTAAAATCAGAAAACTCATCAAAATTCATTGAATAGTTGCAAGACTTCAGATTCTCCTTTCTTTCAACTCCATTTCCCACATCCATTTCAGCATGTAACACATATCCACGATCTAAAATGACGGTTTGCCTAAAAAATTTTTTGGATCTTTCGAAAATTTTCTAAAATGTACGATTTTTTTTTATAGGTGCGAAATAAAATGACCAAAAATACTTACCTGAAAAACGAAATGATCTGCTGCGAGATAAGGACACTGATCTTCGCTTCTGTAACAAGTTCATTTAAAAATTGAAAACATCTAAAAAATTAAAAAGGATAAATTCCATTACAAAAAATATACTAAAGAGGTTGAAAGGATAACTTTGTCAACGAATAGGATTACCTTTGATAAAAATGTATTCGAAACTTCATCTTCGCTGGAATCGGAAAATTCATCTCCAATAATAGGTGGACCAGCTTCAACAGAACCAAGTTCCTTTCGTTTATAATTATTAGGACCTAAATACAGTGACTGGATACATAAAAGAAAAGAAATTCTGGGAGAAATGTCTTACGATATACGAAGAATGCTGCTGATCTTTTCAGTAATGCTCGCAATTGACTAAGTAACATTTCCATTTGTCAGCAAAATTAATGCTGCTATTCACCAGTCCTACATCTTTACCTCTTCAAAAAATATAAAGAAACTGATAAACATGTAAACATTCGCTGTATCAGTTAAGAAAGATAGTGCAAAATAACCTTGATATCCAGAAATGGTCGACGGGTCATTATTTTTCATCTCTACCTGTAAATAATACACAAGACATTTTAGAATCAGCTTCTCCTAATGGGGTTATCATTAAGTGCTAAATATAGTGATGTACTTTCAAGTAAACCATACAAATAAAAACTTTTGTTGTCTATGATATGAATAAGTAAACGCCAAATACATACTTCCAGTGAGAGATTCCAAGATTTCCATTTTGCTGTCTAATAGGCTAGTTTTTATTTTTTCTTCACTTCTTTTTATCTACTTGTCCTTTTACAAAAGGAAAATACGCTATTGTACAAGGCAAAAAATAATTAATTCTTAGAATTAATTAATGAAATTTTTCGGACTTATAGCAAACAAAAAAAAGCCTTCCGTGAACTTCGAAAAAATGACCAATCAAATAATTGAAAACAATCTTAGTGTTAATTAAAACTAATTATGGCGAAAACTGGAAAAAATAGCATGAGTTAATGGACAAACCAGATAACTTTTTGCGAAGCTTCTTTGATTTACAGTCTTCTCAAGCTTTTTAATACGAGCGCATAAACTGAAATGAAAGAAGTCAAGTTTTATAATCTGTTAGATTGTATAGAGAAATCAAGAGATAACTGAAAACATTGTGTAAGGAATTAAAGTGCAATTAAAAATTGGGGTAAAAACATATGGAGGAGAAAGTAATTCCAGAACAGAATTTAGTTTTATATACGATTGAGAAAGCTTTAATTAGATAAATAAGAAGTGCCATTTTCCTGCATTCTTGAATTATAGTAATAAAATAAGGCATGATCTAAACAGCGAAGAAAATAGCAAACAAACTGAAAAATTCCTATAAAAGATAGCTTTGCAGAGAAAAATTACTTCTTCGAGCTAAACTTTTTCACAGCATCCGGAGGTAAACCTGCAGTTTTCAAGAAATGTTCCAAAATTATACTTGCACCATCCTTCTCTTCACGTATTTTCAAAATTGACCTATATACAAGTATTAAAAGAAAATGAAAAATAGAAAAAAGACATTCAATGTAATGTATTAGATTGAAGACCGAATAATGCCTGTATATTACAGGCATCATTCGAATACTTGAACATTACTTAATTACTTGTTAATTAATTACTTGAACATCATTCGATCTTCAATCTTCGACAATCAAAGTTCTATAAAGTTTTTTTTAAGAAATTTCTCTATAGCACGCTTGTAAGTTATTCCATAATGGGCATTTTTTCGAATTTATTTAGCATATTTTAGTTTCTTAAATTCAAAATAATAATTTAGACAACTAGAAAATTGTTTTCTTTCTTTTCATTATCTTCAAACAATGAAATATTCAAGTAATTACTCCACAAAAATAGGATCATTGAAATCAGCAACTCTCGTTATCTTTTATTTTTTCATTATTTAACTTTAATTATTTTTGTAAGGATGGAACGATTGACTGCGAAATATGCAAACCTTCTGTCCAGTTTACGTTGTTTATTTTTGAAGTATTCGTTGAGACGTGCCTCAACAGCGAGAGCAAAATCACGATTATTCTCTACACCAACCATCCGGTATGCTTCCTTTCGCAGCTCGTCTCTAGTTGTCATCATAAATATTTGCGCCAGTGAATCAGCCAAAGTACCAGCTGGCTAAAAAATTAAGTGAAAAGTATGGCGAAATTACAGAACCTTTCCTCGGAAAATGAAAAATCAAATAAACAGAATGTTTTATGATCCATTCTCGTTCCAAAATAGTTCGTTGTATTCCAACAAATCTTCAAATCGAGAATAGAAATTTTACTTCGGTCTTAAGAGAAAAATATTTGTTTCAGTTTGTCGTGAGACTTGTTACAAATATCTGCTGGATAATTTGCACCAGTCATTTTATTTTCAAATATCTTCCTAACCTATGATCTGTAACAGAAAAAAAGCAATAGCTTTTTAGATTTAAAACAATATGTAATCAGTCAAACTTCTAATTTCCTACTTCCGAATGAATGCTTTTTTTCCTTTGGTGACATCTGTTATGCGTGATCATTTTAAAAAAATTGTGCGACTACTCGTTGAAAACTATATCATTTTATTAAAGGATTTCCGTTGTTCCCTGAACGTTTAAGATATTTGATAATACAACGAAAATATCAGTAGATCAATCATCCCAAAGTAGTGACTTACCGTTTCTAGATCGACTTCTTTAAACTCCATAACAATTCTGAACCGGAAATCCTGTAAAACTATTATCTTGGGAAAATGCTAGTGAACTGATGTACCAACTTATCAACGAAACAGCAACATTGACTACAAGAGAACCGCAAAGGCCTTAGTGAACGAGTGAAGTCATCAAAGGCAGTGCTAAGAAAACAATACATAGATATAAACCTAATACCTTCGAGCATTGCCATCAATGATGCATAAAATTTCAGTCGTAAGCTAGTTTTACACTATAAACACAGTACGAGGAATACTACCGATATTACTGCTTTAAAAAGGTCACTATACTACATAAATCATTGAAATGTTAATCCTCATTTTACATTCAGTATGGCGTGCGTTCTACTTTCTTTGAAAAATCCACTAAAAATATTATTCCACTGTAAGTGAAATATCTTTATTCGAAAGAAAAATAAAAACAATCCAAAAGTTCAATTACACAGCGAGGTTACTAAGCAAACAATTCAAAACAGAAAGATTCGGAACGACGACTGTCATTTGATTTTGGAAGGAATCGATCGGAAATCCATCGACTCCAAAATCAAACGAAAAATCGACATATCCGAAAATGCAGTGAGATTTCCAGGGAGATAATTACATTTCTGCATTATGCAATTTTTCTGTACTTTAGAAATCGAAATCACATCCATCCTGTTCCTCAAAGTCATTTACAATATGACGTTTACGGTTACCTGGAATATGTTCAATCAAATATACACTTTTTGAATTCGATTTTGCCTATGGATAGAAAATAAAATTACGGTATACAAAGTCAGAATTCACATATGGCTAAATTAAGATTTTCAAAATAAAAAAAGCTCCTGAATGAAATTCAAATAAACCACTTCGTTTTGCTCATTCTCGTGATATTTTAAAAGTAAATGGAATGAGCAAAGTTTGTGAAAAAATTATTTATAGTTAGCACGGGAAAATCATATACGCAATCTTTATAAATAAGTTTTACGTAATTTTAGCCTTATCTTAACATAAAGATGTTACATTTTAATTCTATTTGTTAACAATATATTTCGAGTTATCTGCTTCCACTTTTGATCTAATGAAATTCGTGGTTTTAGATAAAAACTAAAGTACACACCTTGAAAAAATGCATATACCTCATTGGAAAACAACAATGAAAAAAAACCTTTCTGGCTATGTTTCACACTATCCACTTCGGTAAACACGTGAAATTCTGCAGTACACGATTCACCATTTGCCAATTTACCCGGACACAGTACTTTTCCCGTTCTTATAGATTTTATAATTCTATAAATTGAAAAATTCAAATATAGGAAAAAGCAAATCTGATTTGATGCATATAAATTGTGCAGCCCTTCTCTTCGCAAAAAAAAATAAATGTATTAGCAATAAAGTAATAGGAGATATAAGCGGGATTAACTCATACCTTCACTTGTTTTATATTGAGTGTTAAAAATTTAAGACGCCATTGTTAATCAATTCCCAAACCTTTGTAAAATCATAAAGTCTTCAGAAATCCTATTCAAGAGGTTAGCTGCGCTTGCTGAATTATCTTTCAATATGTCAACAGTTGGCTACAGAATCAAGAATCTTTTTAACCAATCTGTTTTGTCATGAAATTACTCATACTAAAAAAGCTTTAAAGAAACAAGCCATATATATGACTCTTATGAAACCAACTTCAGTCCGCATTGTCTATGAGAAAAACTTCTACATGTTTCGCAGAAAACTGCTCGATTCTTCATAATTATAAATTTGCCACACACAGCGCATTTTTCGAGCTTTAATTCATCTGCATGTGAATTAAAATAATTTTGCAACTCTGCAATTCCACGGGTATGCAGACGGATTGTTGCTTTTTCGTCATCCTAAAAAACTGGGAAATATTACAGATCAGTTATCATTAAATGCGTCTCTTTTTGAATAAACCAAAATTTCTAATATCGCTTTTAGTAACAATTATATGCCGAACATCGTTAATCAAACTCCTCTATTCTAAATTGCTTGTAACAATCTCATACTTATACACACCAACTTTTTAGAAGTCAGCAAGTAATTTGGACTTTCGTGTCATGATAAAATCAGCAGTTTGATCTAGGATTTTAGAAAATATCGTAAAGCAATAAAAATGACAAACCATTACTAGCCATTTGTTTGAAACAAACTGTTGCAGAAGATACTCTTCATCCAACTTTTTTCCCTATAAACAAATGTTATGAACAAGTTTGCTTTCGCTGTCATTATTATAAAGAGTTTAATACCGTAGAAAATAAAAATAAAAAAGTAATATGGTAAAAGGGTGATAGGATTTCTGAAAATAGGTACAACCTCTTCTCAGATCACATTAATACAATAAAAACAAGAAGTTCCCGGTATAAAAATTTAGTACAAACCTTCACCAACAAATCTGAAGCGATCGATAGTGCTTCGTGCTTTAAAATTTCACCATTTTCACTATTGCATATAGCGCTTATCCACAAATGAAACAGCATAACCTCAGTTTGCGTCAAACCAAATGCATCGCGTAAAAAATCACTCGATCTTTGGTCACTAAGCTAAAATAGCAAATAAACTGCTCAGCCAAAAACCAATGATTGGACTAGAACATAGATTGAAATTTTTTAGAAATCGCATGTTATTACAAATCCAATGCGTAGCTCCTTCTCAGCTGATGCACTGAATTTAGTAATTCCAGTAATCTTGCTAGTTTATCATCAAGCTATTCAAAAATGACATTGAGATAAGCATTAATTGCATTTTTAAAAACAACTATCAAACTTACCAATACAACGTAACTGTCCTTGTCGTCATATTCGTCATCTACCTGTATCAATCGAAGACAAAGTGGGGCCAGAGCATTATTAATAACAGTGATCAATTTTTCAATCAGTATTTTTTCTTGTCCATCATCTGGATGAGTAATAGTACTGCCTGAAATCTGATGAGAAACATTAAAAAGTTATTACTATCTCTATATGGTCTATATCACTATCTAGGGTAACAAAATCTGATAAAGGTTGCTCAAGTGATTGTTAAAATTCATGGATGAAGAAAACGTGAAGAAAATGACGATAAAAAAATTTAATTACCGGATATAAAGTACTTGCACAGCAAAATCTTATTATCAAGTTCAACTCAAAACAACTTACCCTTAGAGTCATAGATCTGGACATATTGAACAAATTTGTTGCAGAAATAATGAGCCTGCAAAGGACAAAGAAAACACTGTCTTAATTGTACAACCTCAACGGAATTTAGACAGTCAAGAATATAACGAATTTTACCTGCGGTACTTCTACTCATATCAGAGTAGTTTTGTTGGGATAAGCAGAAGAAAAGCGGAAATAAGTAAAAAACTATAATCAAGAGATATATGATTAACCCGACCTGTAAAATCCCGTGTTTGATGATAAGCTGCACGAGATGCTTATGTGGGACACCGTAATTTTCAGTAATCTCTAGCAAATCCTTTGATAAACTTAGATTTGAACTTAGTTCACCCATTTTATATTACCAATGTGGATCCCATCATACTGCAAAACAGCGCATGTAAAGTTAATGACCATCACATCTGTTGAGAAAAGAATTATGAAACATATGTTGGAGTGTAAAGACTGGCGCATAAATCAAATATATTAATTCAAGAAAGATTGTGGAAATTTGAAATTTAAGTCTCAAAGTTCCCGAAAATCCATTGATCTGATTTAATTTTGCCAAATAAATCTTCGGGGTGCTAAGTCAGTAATTGTATACCTAATGAAAGCAGACGAAGCAAGATGCAAAAAAATTTTTCGACGTATAAATTATATGCCTGCTCAGTACAACACTTACATTTCAATTGATAAAAATGTTACAAGAGTTCTCGTAAAAACGATCCTTTTTTAACAAATCTACATTAACGTATTTTATTAGAAGAACAACATGAACCTACAAAACGAACGAAAACAGAGAAATCACGAGTAACATCAAAAAAATAGCATATATGAACAAAAATACAATTTGGAGACCAGAACGAATGAGTATACACTAAATAGCAAGGACTAAATAGCACCTGTAACGTAAACTTATCTCATTTAACAAACAACGTCGACGCTTGCACTCCGGAAAACATATAGCTGAACGACAACACCAATATATCTATCCTTTACTAAGGCACTGAATATGTATATTTATACAACAGCGTATATTTACATAACATCCGTACTCCAGAATATTGTTTGACTGCAGATTGAGACTGGTTTAAACCCGGGTGCCCTCTGCCACTTTACCCTTCTCTTCCATTCGAAGTACTGGAATTCTCTCTGTTGGACTGAGGCATGGAAAATTGAACCTAAACCACTCCGATGCGAACGGAGCGCTCTACCCTGATCTATATCATCACCCGTCTGCAAAATCGGTCATCCATGAATAGATGGACTAAAGTTATAGCAGCAGAGAAAAAAATGATAACTTGAGACTAAAATTCTTACGCGCTATTTTCCAGTTTAATGATAACTTCTTCGACTTTTCTTGCTTCACAAACGTTGGGCTATTTCATAAGCGTTGAATGGAAGCAAATATTATAGAAAGTTCACTATATTAAACATTTCATTAAAAAATGTTTGAAACAGCTCTATAGCAAACATATAAACCTTTGAATAACTAATCTTTACCTAAATTTTAAGAAAAAATGCACATCCCGCGATACAAGTATTTAGGTAAGTGAGTACAATAAGCCAAAAAATGAAGATAAGCAAATTATGCTGCTTTAATTTCGATGTTCCAAAATATCATCTGAAAGAAGATGAGGTTCTCTCAGCTGTTTAACGAGATTCCAGTCGACTTTTTTCATTGCATTGTGTATGAGCAAATCTTCATTCATGTATCTTAACGCATCGGCAGCAAACGATTGAGATTTTAACTTGGGTATTGATTCTTCATTCTGAAGGTAAAGGTCAATTACAAATCTACCAAAAAGGATCAGAAACGGCTTATAATTTAGTATGTCATTTATTCTGGTTCAACATCCTACAGTAACTACACCTACTATTACTGTAACATTTTGTGACGTATTATTCAAACATTAATTTGCTTCCATAATTTGCTTCGATACTTCGATAATCAGTTCACTTCACTTCTTGCCACAATTTAATCACAACTATAATCGAAATGAAGCATTCCGCTAGATTCTGAAAACTGACTTATTGTAGGAAGTTCGGAAGCTGTAGTGCACCTAAAGTGATCACTTCAGTTAACAAAACTGTATGAGTTTTGATTGGTTGTAAGAGTACACTGTGTTCTTGCGTATCACAAAATTTACAAACCTTAAGAAGTTGTAAAACTTTATGTACAACCCAACTACTGCTGGTGCCACAATCACTTTTCATTTCCATGATCCGAACCAAGAGACATCGTCCTAAAATGCTCTGTAATGACCTAAATTCAGCAACTCGCCCCAATGAATCATAAACTGTGCCAAAAAATTCGGCCCACAAATTTGATGAACCTGGATAATTCTGTGGTACAAAAAGCCTCACTTGTACCTGAAAAAAACGCTGATAAAGAAATACTCTGAAACATATTCAGTTATGCTTCATAATAGTTCCTGTTTACTATTTTTCTTTGCAATCTCATTCTACTGCAAAGCAATCGGAAATCCTAAGACAGCAAAGATGGATCCAAATTATTTTGGAAGAGTGTATAGCGAAAATCCTTTGTTATAAACTAACGTAGTGTAACAATTGAAATAATTACCGATACGATAGTTTTGTAGGGTTGTGTAGGATAGAGCGGACTGATAACGTACCAATCCTTTGCAACATATTTACATTTTCTTAATTCATTGTATTCTAGCAAGCACATATCATCTATGCAGCTGAAAATGAGACCATTTTATTATTATGGAGTTATCTATTCTTGACAAGATTATAACTCATTTCCTTTCATTCTTATGGTTTGACGTTTGGATGAAAAATTGACGTGTCTTAAAATATCTTATAATATCACGGATCTTTTATAACACTGTTTATAACATTTTTCACTTTAAGATCACTTTAAGATACCTGAAACATACAAAGACAGCAACAGTGGAAGAATTACAATTTTAGGTGTTTCTTATACAAGTGTTGAAACCTTGCGAATTCAAATCAGTGAATTTTGAAAAACAAAACTTACGAAGGTATGAATTTAATCCATTCACCATGTCGTATCTGCTGATCAAAACACAACAACACTACTCCTTTACCGAGAATTGATGACCAAACAAAAGCCTTCCTATTAAAGGAGGATGTTATTAAACCAATAATTGTTTTACCTTCTTTGATTTCTTTTTCTACTGTTCCCTCCGTTGAAGCATACGACTGGGGATTAAAAAATTGTTGCTGAAAAAAACCTTTTTCAACAGACTGAAAGAGAAAAATGATAAAAACCCAAAGAAATTTCACAAGAAAGTAAAAAACAAAGCAATCCCTCATTAAAACTGCTTGCAAAGATCACAATGCGTTCACGAAAGAAAATCAAAATGAAAAAAAAATGTGTACAAAGACGTTACACTAACTACCTATGTTTTTGGTATTTAAAACAAACACAATTTCCTTGGAGTCCGTTGCCATTAATAACTACTTTAACCATGCAATTCTGGTTATTTTAATCATTATACAACACCTGCACAATCCATTGGATCGAATAAATATAATTTAAGAATTAAAATACACTCCACATAAAAAAAATCTTTGTATTTCTGTACCTGAAACAATCGAAGTTTACCACCCAAGGCGGAGTACTAGCCATAAATCATGAAAATATTTATGCTAGAGAGCCTACCTCGGTAAAATATGACTGTTCTGAAAAATTTCGCTTGCGTAACGGGTTATGTTCTTGTAGCTCATCGAAATTAACATTACCACTGCTGACTGAACTTCTAGTGGTGTGTGTAGCAGCATCAGAATAACTATCTTCGGATGCAGTGTTCGGTAGCCCCATGTGTGAGTTAAATTCTGATGAGAGACTGCATACTGATGAAAACCGCTCCAAAGATGTTTTCACGATTTGCTCAGAAAGCTCCTCGCTAATATACCATGACGTTTTGTATAAATGTTCAAGATTGGAAAGCGCTTGTGGGATTCTAAAATACAGCTCATATTAAGCACGATTCATAGCATTGCCTAGTCATTCAACGAACCTTTTACAACTGGCTGCGCTGGTCATATCTTTCTAAACGAATTCTGTTTATGGTAACAGCTCTTACATTGCCTACTAAGTATGATCCCTAGTAAATAATGTAAATGTTTGATTAAATCTCACAGAATTTTCAATTATTTCTATAAAATAAGAATAAAAACATTGACTACAATGGATTTTTCATTTCTCTTTACTTTTGATACAATTCAAGAAATATAATCAAAACAAAGACACATAAACAACCTTTCAACCCAAATATCACAATCACAGCTTTCATTCAAATTCGGGAAATTTTGAAATATTCCAATAACTCCTAAATCATTTGAATGAACTAAGAAATTACAGCCAGGCACATCGCTGGAACGAAATGAGACTCGAGTTTTGACCTGAATGGAAAAGAAATGCCTACATTTACAATTCATTTAATCTTCTCAGTAGCAGAAAGCCAAAAGACTAAAACTTGCCTAATGTGTTAAATATCTTTTTCAAGTTGCTGTCAGTTTTAAAAAGTGGAGAAACCTCCAATTTTAATGATCTGGTCTCCAGTTTTAAAACAATCTAAACTAACTAACTTAAATATATATATTAAAAACTCTCATTACTTATTTTGGGAAAACAAAAAATGAAGAAATAAAATATTTCACCCACCATCACGTCTCCATGTTCATTCACTTTCGTAGGTAACAAGTCCGGAATATCAATAAAATCATCAATAAAACTGCTGCCAACTCTAACTTTAAAGACAATCCAATTACCGATTGATGGCACACATCCACCTGTAGATACCACTCTTTTGTCCAAGATAGCTTCTCCTCCAAAACTCTTCGACCACACATAGAGAAATTCGCTTTTAGACTTTGTTACTAGTCCTTTATGCAACATCCTGAAAATATAGAGCAATCTAATCCAGTATTCCAAAATATATATATTAAGGCTAGGGATGCACGTTATCAAAGTACATGTTTGGAGTTGAACTTGAAGAAAAGTAACACTTTAAAATGAACCTGTAACATTTTAATGAGAATGCGTCAAGTTTTCAATAAGATACGGTTGTGTTTTGTGTTAAGAGGAAGTTATGGTTGACTAAATGACCATAACAAATTTCTACACCTAATAAGGAAGAATTTATCTCAGCCAAACTTACCGGTATTTCGCTTATCGAACAAAAGTAAAAAATGCATGAACAGTTCCGAAAAGTGAAACTCTATTCATTTGTCTGAAAGTCGAAGCGAGAATTGTAAGTCTTACGATAGATACCAAACCCTATTTAGAGATACAAATGGGAAAATGAAAAATGATGCGTACACCCTTGGAAACAACTTCAAGCGCAAACATTTAATATTTGCCTCAGGTGTAATTGTCGCCTCTCTCTGTCCCCCATTATGCAATGGGGGTATCTCTTATCAAAATGATTGATGACTTCTTGTATGGATGAACTTTGCTCACACAGATGACCTATCCGCTTTATTAGACATAGAAATTTGGGTTATACTTGCTTGCTTCACTTCAATTTCCTCATAATACCTAAAAGTTATTATTATTCCGCAAGATTTAAATTATTTTCTGGTTTAATGTCATCTCATCCTTCTCTCCCTCTCATTGAGACTTCTGCATGAACACTTATCCTTCTTTCATCCTTCAATGAAACTGAGACTTCTGCATGAGCACCTCATCCATCTCTCATAACTTCACTGAGACTTCTGCATGAACACTTATCCTTCTTTCATCCTTCAATGAGATTGAGATTTCTGCATGAGCACCTCATCCTTCACTAAGACTTCTGCTTGAACACTCATCATTCTTTCTTCCTTCACTGAAACTTCTGCATGAATACCTCATAAAAACTTCTCTCATCCTTCACTGAGACTTCTTGTGAACATGAAGTGGAATGAATTTTAAACGTAATACATGCAGCGGAAATGTGAGAATACAGAAAGCTTGAAAGAAGTCTTACTGTTCATCTCTTTTGACTTTTAACGAAAGGAAAAGAATCGAAAGTGTATTATTTTGGACATTACGACATCTGAAATGACTTTGTAGTATTTGAAATGATTTTTGAAAATTTTGAAATGACTTTTTAGTATTTGAAATGATTTTTGAAATGATTTTTTAGCATTTGAAATGATTTTTGAAAAATTTTTAAAAAAGCAAACAACTTTTAGCAAATAACTTTGAAAAAATTTTTAAATGATTTTTGCAAAAAAGTTTTCAAATCTTGTTTTTGCGAATAATCTAATTTCTATAAAACGAGAAAACAAATTTTATTGTTTCCACTCTCTTACATACTATAGTGTATCGAAGAACCGGTCAATTTCATAGTAGGAAGGCAAAAAAGACTTCTGATTTTCTAAAGATCAGGAATGTTTCGTCATCTTTTTCTCTTCAGAAAGCCTAATACGATATGTGGTATTACCGGTTATTAATATTTACTCATAAACATTCAAATATTTGCATTTCATTGAAGATATCATTGAGGGAAAAGTATCCAGAAATTCAAAGTTAAGCATAACCAGTCAGTAAACAATTTCTCGGAAAAAATTGTAATCACATAAAAGCGCCGGTTGTTGTACAGTTTGTAACCGACAACAATAACATTTATCAATTTATTCGTATTGAATTTAAATTTCTTCTACGACACAACTTATCAACTCCAAAATGTTTCAACATACCTCCATCTTTTTAATTGGTAATTTTAATTTCAAATTTCAGTACATTATTTTATATTGTTTCTAACCATATATTACCTGCAACGACAGCATCAAGCATTTCCCTTGATCATGCAAATTGAATGATACGCTGAATAAGTTTGTTGATAAATTCCGATGATTAAAGCATTTTGTTATTCACAAGAAGCACATTGTTAATTTTGATCATTATTCTGGAATGCGATAGTTTAAGCCAATTCTATTATTACTGCAGTATACATTATTTTTTTATCAAAGATTTTCTCAATTTTCAGCTATCACTACACAAACATGCTGTCCGCCATCATCAGCCGTATCACCTAATAAGAGATCGATCAATATTTTTATCCCAGTACCATATATTTCCACATTTCCTGAATTGGACAGTTTAGGAGGTAGATTGGGTAGTTTAGGAGGTGGACTGAGTAATTTAGGAGGTGGATTGAGTAGTTTAGGTGGTGGATGGAATAGTTTAGGCGGTGGATGGGGTAGTTTAGGAGGTGGGTGGGGTAATATAGGAGGTGGATTAGGTGGTTTAGGAGGTGGATTGGGTAGTTTAGGAGGTGTATGGGGTAATTTAGGAGGTGAATTGAGTAGTTTAGGAGGTGGATTGAGTGGTTTGGGCGGTGGATTAGGTGGTCTAGGCCGTCCGTACTTTGGATACTTCACTCAATGTGAGTTCACCAATATCTTCAAATCCTCATTTCGAAAATGTTACTCCTCTCATAGATAATTTTAATGAAAATTGAGGAAAACAAAATAACGATTGAATAAAATAAGAAAGAAATATGAGTTTCAAGCTTAAGATCATAATCAATTAGACTTAGAATTATAATGAAGAATGGAGAAATTCAGATTAAAATGTGGCTGAATTCGCTTCCGACAAAACTGATCGTTATTTCAAAATTAAATCGATAAACAAAAAAACAGAGATTGTGGGGATTTTATTTTTTTGAAATCGCTGTTCCAGGTCAATTAGCGGTACAGTAAGAATAAATTGCAAGTACCAGTTAATTAGAGGTGATTTGAAATAAGAAGTGCATTGGTTTTAATTTGGTTTTTCAAACATATGTTTGCTGAATTTGATTGACTAATTTTTAAAACAGTACTTTTACATTCCATAAGTTATTGACGACCTTCAAAACTTCTCGAAAAGTAAAGCTTAATAAGAGAGAAGAGTCCAAAATTTAAAGTGAGATAATGCTTAAAGCAAAAATCGATTGAGATTTAATAATTCTCAAAAGAAACATCCTTTGATCATTTAAATTTTAAGATCTTGGTCCGGCAAGCGCAAATGGAATATGTCCAGCTGGGATAAATATTAATGGCCAATGTTGGTATAATAGTATTGGAAACAAAAAATGATAATTTCAATACAAGAAATAAGAATGTGAAATATGAGCTGGCGAAAGATTTGATTTGTACATAATATTAATTAATTTGACCAGGTTTTTTTGAATCCAATTAATTGTTAAAATTTTGATTTGTTTTATTGAAATCTATAACTTTCATGTTGTTTATTTTGTATACTTCTTTTCTTTTTAACAACCTTCTGCAGAAAATATAATCCTAATAATAGCATTTCTCTAACTTCTCGATTTCTCCATATTTGTGATTAATTTCCAAAACATATCACAATCTGATTCAATTAAAAGAATAATAAATATACAAGTGAGAAGAAGAAATATGGTTTACCTCTCTTGATTGACCCGTGACTCACTGTTTCAAAATTATCGTGAGCTAAATCCTCTACCATTAGAGTTCAACATCGCAATAACTCAAATCTTCTGTCCATATTTTGCATTTCAATTTATGATTATAAAGATAGTCACTTCATTTGATCTGTGTATATCATTTTAACAATGTGTTGTTTGTTAGTTTATTGACAGGGTTAGAATGCTTGCAGCTTTCTCTGATCGCATATTAAATGTTTGCAGCTCTGTAAGATTTGAATAAAGTTCAGATTTATATTTTTTTCCAAAAATATAATTGTTCGTTTTTTTTTTTTTCAAATTTCCAATTTATCACTGTGATTTTATAACGAATTTCAAAACTTTCGATAAAATTTTATTTAAGTAAAACTTACTAAGTCATCAGCTGTCAGCATTACATAAACAATCAATCAATCAATAGTTCAAAGTGTAATTTAATAAATATAAACAAAAAAAGTTATGAAGAATTAACAATGGAATGGATGAATTCTTTTTACATGAAACAATAGTTAATAGTTTAATAAGTCCAATTATAATTTATTCATTCAAAAGGATATAAAGCTCAATATAAGCTTAAAATGCAACGACAGAATAACAAAAGTGTTGCAAGAAAAAACAATAAGATAATAGACAGTAAAATTTTTAATATTTCTTCATTGAAATGAAGAAGTTTTAAGTTTCTATAATTTATTCGTTCAAAAGGATATCCAAATTTTAATGTTTGTCAGCAACTTTGTTCTTTAACTTTTTACTTCTGAATGAACGATACAACAGAAATTAATGACAGTAATGAGTGACTATTCATTAAATGCGAATTACTCAGAGAAATTCATTCAATAATTACTATTTTTCGATTTTCACGATTTAGTCATACCTTCTCTTTTTATTCAAGACAAGTTTCTCGTAGTATCTCGAAAGTTTAGTTTACTTTGTGAAGACACCTAAGATGGTGCACACTTATGAAACGCTTTTGTACGCGCAAACACATAACTTTCACCTTATTGAATATAAGGTAGACAAAAAATACCTGAACAAGTAAATAGTATTTTACATAAAAGTATATTAAGCAAATGAGAGTAAATTAGCAATAGTTCTAGTCCTTCAATTAGATCACTATGTAAATAGTTCTTCATTTAAATCAACCAAATCTTCACTCCTTTAAGGAGCTCTTATTTAAATCATTTTCATAACAAAAACAACAAGAACAAACTTTGAAGAACGTTTTTAGCAAGATAGTAAGAGACATTAAGAGTAGATGATGATGATTTCTTGTTTTAGTAGATGATGATTTCTTGCTGTAGTAGATGATGATGATTTCTTGTTGTAGTGGGTGATGATTTCTTGTTGTAGTAGATGATGATGATTTCTTGTTGTAGTGGGTGATGATTTCTTGTTGTAGTAGATGATGATGATTTCTTGTTGTACTCGAATATGAACGTAGTCTTCAAGCTGAAATGGTTTGTATCAGGATCACATCTTTTTTTTCATTTTATCATTAATTTTTCACCGTACAAGTTTCCGTTTCAACAATTTTTTTTAGTTTTACTACTATAGTGATGTTGAGATCTTCTGAAATGCTCAGAGTGTTGGTTTTTTACAAGAAGTTTGAAGACAAGAGATTTAAAAATAGATACCATCAACTTTAAATTAGCTACTAGGCAATGATAAATCGCAGCACCATGAAGGCAGTATTGAATTAATAATATTGGAGCGGTCTTGATAACCTTTCAACATTGTACGCTATTATTGTTTTTGTTCACAATAACATATCAATTGTCTTTAGCAAGAAAAAGATGAAAAAGCTATAATTGAACAACTGGATCGTATTGAATTGCAACAATCTCGTCCAGTTCATCTTCCAGCTTTCAAATTCGTTAGAAAGGACAATAGTTGATGTTATGTACATTCCCTTAACACATTGGTTCTTACCGATTTCTTTGCTTAATTCTTACCTTATTTTTCTGTTTTAATTACCATGCAGCGATAAACCATACCAGCTTCTTTTAATTTGTCCTCTTCAAATTACACAAAACGATTCAATGTGCAAGTTCGACATAATTTATAAAATATTTAATAATAATGATGCCATATCCGATTCGCAGCAAAAATGGATCAAAATGCTGAAAATAAAGTTATGAAAGAGATTCAAGATCGGTCTTGCGATCTTTCGCACAAAAAAACACTGCTATTTTTCATCATCGCCAGTGTTAGTATCGTAGCAATATAATACATCGGATGCTGTACTTCAGTCAACGCCTTTTGGTTTACAAATATATTTTATTTTTCCTACCTTTGATTTAATATATAAATTTGGAATTTTTATATAGCGATCTCACCATTTTTTGCTTTTATTATTTCCCTGTCTTTTCCAATACTTTGAAGGCGTTGTAAGACTTGTTTATTTTTTCCTGAGATCTCGTTTATTAAAGTTTTCATTTGCACTTGTAGGAATTTAAATCCCAAGTAGCAATTATTTGATTCATCTTTTGAATGTTTGCAAGTTGGTGTTATCAATTGCAACTATTGCTTTCAAAATGTAAAATATCCATCCCACTTATCTTTATTGTTTTATTACTCGTATCGATAAAAACTTGAAAATCTGACAATTTGAAAGAAGTAACTGTGCCATATTAGAGATTCTGAAACGCATGAGGCTATTCAGTGCTTATGAATCTTGCACCGTTTTGTTTTAATATCACATTAATCCAAGAGTGCACATATGCTGGCGGATGAAAACTTGCTTAAGGAATTGTAAATGTATGCCAACAGTCTGAACAACAACGTAAAAAACCGTGATACCCCCTACGAAATCAGAAAAACACAAGATGAACAATGAATATCAAATGATTAGTGAAATTGTTATTTTAAATCACAAAACTCTATCTTAATTGTATCAAAATAACCAATTTGGTAACTTAGCATTTCTCATATTTTATTATTCATCTGTATGATGATGATGGAAATGTTCATCTCCGCAATAAATTTAAGCGCTACCAGCGAAATAGGATAAAATATATTTACATATAGAAGCATATACAGAAATCCTAAATAAACGACTCAAAATCAATGATGATCACACTTCAATGATCAAATAATTTTAGTAATACTGGCAATCACCAAAGCCAAAAAGCTCTAATTTGAAAGAAAAAGTATGTATTTTATGCACGAAATTTTTTCGAAAGTCAACTTCAACTTGGAGAAGAAAATAACAAAAATATGAGGCAATACAGCGAAACAGCTAAAATTAAATCAGCATGAATGGTGATTGGTTCATCGCGTTAACTCATTTTTTTTAAATGTCAGTGGCCAATGTCACCGAAAAATTTCCGAGCCGGTAAGTTGTAATCCTTCATCATCATTCCTAATAAACAACGACGTAAACTTTAATCAAGAAAAACTAAATTAATTTTATTTTTTAATTGAGAACTCTGCACATATTTCTTCTCCCTAAAGAACTTATAAAAAAAAAAAATCATGCCACTCAAGTCAGTTACATAAGTTTGCAAAAGTTGAAACTTTTTGAAAATATCGCTGAAACTATGTTTACATCATATGGAGAACAAAAGGGAAACCATCGTGTATATCCTGATAAGTAACTTACCTTTTCTCATAGTCATTAACAGAACAGGACGGATGTTCACCAGATTAACCAACAGCGGGTGTCTTAAAATCTTCCAGTAATAACGATTTGGGTAGTGGATTAGTGTCAATAATGAAATCGTTTTTATCGTCGAAATCCTAAGTATAAAGAATTTTCAAAAGTGATACAATACAAAATCCTAAAGTTAGCTATTTAGTAAAATTACACCTATATATATATTGCCGGTAGAGAGCTGATAACAAACTCTAGACTCTATTCTAAAAAGCTCAAAATTTTGCTCATAGATAAATGTCCTGACTATACCCATATAGTCAAGTAAGTCAAGGAAAAGCATAGATCAATTGCGGCAACACCTGCAGAATTTTTTCTTTTTAAATTTTCTCACAGTTAATCTTTGAAACCCAAATTTATTATTATCATTATTATTATTATTATATGGTGTTATAAAAAGACTTATAAAACTTATACTACGAAAATTAAAAATGTTAGTACTGGAATAATGTAAGATCAGAAACTGAATTGCTATACCATGCTAGAGCTAAAGACCCCAAACCTTTCCGATTTAACATTTCAAAATTATGATAGATTTGCTCCTTAAGAAATTCGTACTAAAATTTTTTAATAAAGTAGTTTTTACACCAAGTTAGGATATTTTATTCCAATTAGAACTTCATATACATATAAGTAGTCGCCAAATAAGAGAAAATTGTAAAATTTGAAATTACTACCTCTTTTTTTTCAAGAGTCCTGTCTTCCAGAACAACGCTTTCCGAATCGTCATTCCCGTTAATGTAATATGGAATACCGAGTCCATTCATTGAAAGTGAACAAAGCATTTCATTTAAATCTTTGATTCCAAGTTTTGCACAGAATTCTGTTGACTGAGGATTCCTGACAACAGAAAAGAGTTTTATCCACTGCTTCATATTCACAAAAATTTATCCAAAAATGGATAAGCCATGCTAATCTTTTTTGCAATAATTTATTTTGAAGGAAATCATCATTCCTTAAAGTAAGCGATATAGTTAAGTAAAAAACCAAACTATATAATTAAGGTAAGAGGGGAAAGAAATGGTGCAACAAAAAAAACCCTTATTTCATAAAACCAAAGCCTTAAATTTCATTTTGATTAAAAGTCCAAGCATCCATCACTCACGTTTACGCTTCTCATTATTAGTGATAATACCCGCACTATTCTCTACAGCTTCTGGTTGACGGACTCGATATGCTTGAAACAAACCCCAATTGATCCATCTTGATATTGATCTTTGTATGAAAGAAATTCGGTCAGTAATAATCAATATTTTGACGAATCTATTTACCTGTAATACAATTCTTGAGAACTATCGCCTGTTCCGTTTGTTTTATGTGGCCATGCCGTCATCTTGAAATTCATTGGAATGGTAAAATTCCCACCATATATTTCTTTCACTTTTGCCAATTCCTCTTTTGTCGGTCTGAAGTCCCAACGCTCATTGCGAGTATGTTGTGACGGCATATAGGTATTCTAGAAAAAATTGTGCGCTAAATCAAAGCTCCGTTTGAAACACGAGTGGGAAAACAAGCAGTTCAAAGATATCACTGCAGAGTTTTGATACAAGGATCAAAACAAAGCACACGCCACAACGTGTTAAGTCTTTTAAATAACACTTCTCATCCTAGATTTATATACGAGATTTTATTATACATCTACTACAACTTCCTTTTTTGACATCAAAATAAAAAAAATATCAATATTATCTTCATAAAAAATAGATACTTCGTCAGTTTCATGAAAAAAATAACATACACTTTTGTCTACCGATGTAAGAGCGTCTGTTGCTTTCAGAATTGCTAACCATGTAGGATCATATGATAGATTTAGCGAAACATTTTGATTAACATCAAATTCTAAGGCCTGAAATGTTGCATAGAAACATGCATATGCAAAGTTCAAGATGCTGAAAAAGTCAAAATAAAATTTTTGGAATAAAGAATGTAGGATATAAAAATTCTGAATCAAAAAATATATTTTTAATATTCAAAAAAATAAAACAATGCGTTCGTTACTGTTTCATAATAATATATTTAAATATATTTAAATTTGAGAGATTTAAAATTTTTTCGTCACGCTAATAAAGATGTGGCAAAATCTTATTCTATCTATCTATCGATAACGAGTGGATTGCACATGAAAGGCCATGTTCAAGTTCATTTGATGCATACATTCAATTTGCGCCATAATCACCTGCAGAAAATGCCTTCGTGGCATTGGCTTATCCAATGATAGGAATCTAGTTGGTTCAAAATCATTTTCAGGATCATTTTTATTCGAATGAGGTACCAAAGCTGCAAAAAAACAGTGCATATGGGCTGCCAACCAGTAGCGCGGCTTTAGTACCTGTAAAAAGAACAAAAGAAATTTTTCAAGACTTTAGGAAGCTATTTTCGCTTTATTTTTATTCTTGCTAATGTTGAAATACTACGAAACTGTTCAGCGGGCATCTTGGATTCCGTTCGAGAATCCAAGATGCCCGCAGAACAGTTTCGCAGTATTTCAACATTCGCAAGAATTATTGTGAAGATTCTATGTCTGCAATCCTTGCTATAGATAGAAATTAACTGCCCTTTGTAATAGAGAGGCCGCACATGTAACGAGGTTCTCATTCACATCCAGTCAATCTTACGATACCCTTTTCATAAAAAGCAGGGTATCTGATGCAACATAATTCAAAAACTCAAAATCAATGTGAACCGACTGGTAAACGAAATGTATGCTCCACAGGAAGGCAAAGGGTTCGGCAAACTTCAAACCCTTCGTGGCAAGGGAGCAACGATTCTTTTGCCTTCGCACAATTCCAAATACGTCATTACATAAGCGCAAGGAAAACCTGATTGAAGGTCACATTAGGAACCGAACCACCCATGCTTAATGCAGTAATTCAAACCACTACACAACCATACCTGTACATCAACCCGGAAATGTAAAAAAGAACCTACTTATAACATCCTGGAATTATAGAACTCTACATATTCTTCACTAAGTTGCAACGTTCCTCAATTCCTAAACGTTTAAATTTGTGAAGCATTAAGCATCCACCACCTACATGTAGTAATGTCATAGAAGCAGGATTTCCAATCGCATTCTTTTTCAAATCTTCTTCAAAATATGGTTTCAACTTTAGCAATTGCTTAACATCGCCATAATCTGTGATGCCTGCTGGCCAGTCATGTGTTACCATTACATCGATTGGCGGTTCTGAAGCAAACGAAATAGTCTAAATTCTTAACGGTGTATACAATCGAATACTAAGCAAAAAAGAAATCAGTCCAAAAAATGGTGCATATATGTGCAAAAGTTGGTGTCCAAAATAGAAAAAAATCTAGCTGCTTTCAGACTAGTTTGGCTGCAAAGACAATAAACCAAGAGTATGAGCGTGGTATGGATGCAGCTTAGTAATGACAACAGTGAGACACGCAAAGTTAACACAAATTTGATGATTGTGATTAAATCTTTCACAAGGTAGCAATTAAGAGAGTGCGTGAAATTGCAACAGTACATGAAAGTATATGAAGTGCTGAAACATGAAATTATAACAACCGATGACTTGTTAAGACATCATAGCTCTGAAATTTACAAGCGGAAAATCAATTTAAAAAGAAAAAATTGACGTACCATTCCGATCCCTCGGTTTCAACTGCTTAAGGCGAAATATATCAATAGAACGTACATGATAAGCAGAAACAACTGCACCATGATCGGTAAATGGCGGACGTTCCCAATGACCTTAAAAAAATGAAAATTCTGTGCTGAAATTCAGGCAATTGAAATTATTTCTATGCTCACATGCTTTTGAAACTCACATGTTTCCGCTGGAATACATTAAGTAACATTTAAAACTAATTTTAAAATTCTAATGAAAGTGTTAACCTATCACAGACTAACGGTATCGGAAAAACAAACAAGTAACTTGCTTACCCATATTATAGTCATTTTTATTAAAGATGCCCGATAGGCCAGCAATTCGAAGCCCCGCAAACTGTACAACAGATGCATGTCCCAAATAATAAATTTTTGGTGCGACCCATCCACCATAAGGCAATTCTTGCAGATAACCCGATGCTTCATGATTTCCCCCAACAAAAATTGTTAAGATTGGTGCTTCCTGAAACAAAACAATGAGTAAAACAAGTTCGGATCCCTTTAACAAAGCCGAAGTGTTACAATAATTGATGCAGAGTTATTTTAATGTACATCTCTTGAAACAAAACAACGTACATATAAATATTATGCACCACTATAAAAAGGAACCCAGGATGTAAACTGTACAGATTCTATTCAAAATTAAATATGATTGATCAAAGATAATTTTAAACACTGTGTTCTTCAAAAAAAAAGGATAGTTTATGCCATTATGTTCAATATAATTCTTTTACCGATACAGTGAAGTTCAATCTTACTAATTCGCCGGAGTAATAGCGATGAAAGCTTTGCAAATGTCGATATTTTTCAGGTACATGCATATGCTTTAAGTCACCAAAATTTCGGACTGCCTGTAAAAACAAATTAAATCTATAGAAAATGAGAATTAAAAATATTTCTTGTTGTTAGATAATAATATTAGTGTTTCCTCAAAAATTGCAAATAATTTCAAAGAATTTTCTGTATTGCAAATAATTTCAAAGAATTTTCTGTCTTGCAAGCAACCGCTGATTATTCGTATGGCTTCTAAAGCGGCGAAAATGATGGATGTGGCAAAACGAAGGTTCGTAATTCCTTATGATAGATAAACCTGTAATCCGCACATCAAAACATCGCACTTACAATCCAAACAATTCGAATTTCAATAAAGTAAATTATACGCTACCGATTAATGTATTTCTCGTTCCAAAAAAAACTAGCTGTGCACACTATCAGCACATCAAAACAGAAGTAAATAACTATTCAATGGCACAACAACACACCTCATAATCACCGCAGCTAATGAGCAAATCGAATTTATAACCTTCCCGTCGTTCGATCTCCGCCAGTGTTGCATAAATTTTATCCATTTCTCCATGTGAACATCCAGCAACTGCTGCAATATTAAATTCGCTAAAAATCAAATAGTACTGACATCTGAAATTTGTAAGAATTTGGGTTTATGAAAATTCACCACCACTTGCGACTTATTTCAGAGAGAAGTAACATATTTCTGAACTGCAAAAAAGCGACTTCAGATGAATCTTTCTTGTGTAGCATACCAAACACTGTTGCAATAATCGCCTCAGAAGATGGAATTCAATAGCAACAGTTTTTGTCACTGATCTTATTATACTTCATTATTTTCTAATAAGATATAACACTGACCGATATGAATTTTACGACTTCGTTCTTGTTGCTTAACAGATTCAGTAATAGCTGAATTCGAACTTGCCGAAGTGGATGGCTGTTCCTCAGATAACGCCGAGATGTCGTTCTGCTCTTTCTTACATATATTTCTTATATTATCGTCCATAATCATTGTTTAAAATAACAAAGTAATCTGAAATGTATGTGTTTTCAGCCCGTACATTTCCCTTTTTTTTGGAGTAATAGAGAAATTCAATACGACACGGCAATAGCAAGGATTCAAACAAAAAGAAGCAAGATTGAAAATACATTCCAGAAGCCTGACTTCATACTAGCATCAGTAGAACTGCTCCTGTATTGATTATCCGAACAATTTAGATCATTTCAGCATAATTTATTTTTCAAATAGCAATAAGTCATAGGTTTCAATAAAAATCACGAAAATTAGCACAGTTGTGGCTACAGTACTTGAAACTGAGGAAAAAAATGTACGGATCAGCTGAGAAATTAGCAGTTACCGGTAGAGATTACTGAGAAGTTTGCCTAAGGAATTAAGCTAACTCATTCTTTTATTAGTTTCTTCTGGTGGATGAAACAAAAACAAGCAACTAAAATTTACGTACAGAAGATATCTTTTAAAACAACAAATCACCTCTCCTGAGTCCACTCTAGCCTCATAACCCTAATAAGACTACTACAAAAGCTAAACTGGAAAAAACACCAATCAGATGGGACAATAATTAACAAAGCCTCAGTACGCAAATATCTAACCCGAAGTGGTTGGACAACAATTATTTAGCATAAGCATCCTGCCCTGTCGATCATTACTTATACCTGATATCTGACATGATCCAGATGGTATAAATAATCATCCGGTCGAAACAGAAGGATTGAGTTGGCTGTTCGGTATTATTTGTCCGTGACTGGATTGACCGACCCATTTTGAAGAATGTGCCTTAATTTGGTCACATACGAGATGCGCAAAACACCTTACTTGCATAAAATATTTCCGAACCTCTTCCATAAAATGTAATGGAGCACAATATAATCTAATGTTCTGAATGAAATTACTTTTTACTGCTTTTGTTGCTCATCATGATTTCAACGCAACTAATTTATAGCTTTAGAAGTGATGATGTGGGACAAAATATGTACTTTGTGCGTGAACTACCAGGCTAATGCGATGCCGGATGCTGTGTTTTGTGATAAGAACTTATCTATCACAGGACAAAACAATTTATGACTTAGAGTTCAGCAGAATACATTGTCAACTACGTATTAAGAAATCATCTTTGAATTCAGATGAAATAGTAAGATCCCATTATATGCCTTGAAAGATAGTAAATACAACAGAAAATGTGAAGAGAAGGGTAATAATAATAGATTTTTGGATAGAATTTTAATGTCAGAAACTATAAATTTACCTAGTAGTTGTATGCTAATAAACTACGCTGCACGAAATTATTCTGTGGACCACAATCAACGATACCGCTTTTTACCGGAACTTTTTAGTAAATCATTTCATGACAGTCACATAGTGACTCCATAAAAGAAGTAATAAGACTAGATTCCTACATTCTTTAAGCTTAATATTCGATGAGAAGCACTTTTTGCTGCTCTCACTGTTATATTTATTAAACATAAAAAAGACACAGAAAGTGGTCCTACCCATCCATCATAATATTTGACAATTAACATCATAATTCCATACATAAACTGTGAAAACAGCCTATTTCATCTCATAAAGATACTGATGTCTTCATTGTTTTTTCTTCTTTTAGGAAGACTTCTTTTCAAAATAATGGTAAATGGTTATATAATGAATGTTTTTCGGCCAAAAGTTGAACCACCAAAATCATAGTTTCGCCTACTCCTTTCTTCTGTTTCCTGCTCGTAATCTTTTTCTCACATTATTGGTTTTTTTAATTTCACAAAAATTTCTTTAAGATATAAAGTAGATATTTTCCTTTTTTAAATGTTTATTGATGCTCATAGAAAGTAAGAACATTCAAAGGCATAAATGAAATTCATGAATAGAAAGTAACGGGATGGAATAAATTGTCTCCATGATTTCACATAACATACCTTCTCCCTTCTAGTTCTTGTATGGTGGGCCTAAAAAAAGAATCATCCGAACAGTCTAATATTGTACAGAAGTATATGGCAAATTTAGAATACAGGTATCATATAAAGTTGCTTGAAAGAAGACAGAAATAATTACACCTGCTCCAAATAGCAATAAGTCATCATTTTCAAAAATCATGAAAAAGAAATGATCACTTCAACTTTCATTCTGCATGGCATTCGTGCCGCGCAGAATAAAAGTTGTAGTGATCATTAATTATACCAAAGGATTTCCTTAACCACTTAATTTATATGGACAACAAGCATATTTACTCACTTGGGTATTCCGAATAATTGAACTTTTAAATGTATAGTATTGAAGTGGAAATTTATTAGATTCCATAGCAAATCTACTAACACTATTTTCGCTAATGTAAAAGGGCAAATAACCACAAAAAATCTATTAACATTGAAAAAAATTCTAATATGAGCTCATCAAACTTACTCTGGCATACAAATATTTTCGGCAAGCGAAAGCTGTCACAATCTGCGGACATCCATTCTCCTGCGTAAGCCGCGTAAACGCAATCTTTTGTGCCTGTTATATCTGGCTGTCCTGTACGCCAGAAGAAAAAATGTGCCCGAGTCCCATAAGTACTAGTATCCCAGTACCAATCTCTTCTTCCTATAAAAATATATTTTCAGTCCTAGTCTCAATGATGAGAAATAAATCCTATTTGCTATAACATGGTATTTTAGCAATTAAAATTTATCTGTATTTCCATGTAATGTAAAAATAATAAAGAATTTTTTGTATTTCCATTTAACATTATAGCGACCGGACTGTAATCTCCTGCGATAAATTTGATAAATTAACCGCGTTAACTTATATCAGACTTCTCTAGCGCAATAAAAAGTAAAAGTCATCTTACACTTAAATCCTGTGATAGAAATTCCTCAGCATTGTAGAGCTCTTTTGTATCACTAATAGACGATAAAGTATTCAGCCACAACTAAGATGTAATACTCTACAGCAAATCTTATAGAACCATGATTCTTGTATGAAAAAAAAGTAATTGCACCTTTCCTCAAGCCAAGCCAGAACGATCTTCCTCCAGCAAGTCCTATAAATAAATTTTTGTTTAACAATATATTTCTTCCAAAAGTCAAATATTTATTTGCGTACGAATTCAACAAAAGACTAAAAAAGAATGGAAGAAGACTAAAAAATTTAAATTAAACATGACATTTAACAAATTTGCAACAAAAATGTTCAGTCAATTAAAAAACATTGACAACGATTATGCTATAATTCATTTGAAACTCACACAAAGTAGTTAACCAATTGATTTTGCACTTCCCTGCTTCCATGACTTTTAATTTTCAAATAGCTTTAAAGCACATATTTCAACAAAGAAGCAAAACAAACACTGTTCACTCTTACCATAGACGGTCCGTGCCTCCTCCTTGTTTTTAATTTTGACTATTTCACTATCCAGCAAATTGCAAATTGTTCTGATTGCAAAACGTGGTACGAAGTTGGTAAATCCCTCAAAAACAATTTGATAAATTTGTCTTAGTTAGTGACCTTGATTCGCAGACCCCACCATTTCAGACCTATTCGAACTGCAAACAGATACAGAAGTTTAAGCAGCAATAAAAAAGTCAAGGTCGTAACTAAGACAAATATCCTCTATAAGGATATAGTGTACGTGTTACTTGCTAACCCTTATACAGGGTTAGCAAGTAACACGTACACTACATGTACTAATTTTTTGCCAGCCTCTTGTTAGTATCACTTAGCCAGGCATCATCAGGATGTTCAGGAAGTTTCGAAGTGATGAACAATAATAAAGAAACTAATTAACTGAAGTTGAAAAGATGCTGAAAAGAAATAAAAACAAACCGTGATATAGCAGTGGTCATGACGATAGACAAATGATGTTTGACATTTCTGCCCTGAAACAAGGAGAAAATAATTCAACAACACCAGATATTTTGTTGAATACCCCGCCTCTGTGGACACAAACGAAAAGCATCTCCCTGAGTAGCGAAACCGACCCAATTTTTTATAATACTGTGTTAGAAAGTTGAATTCTTGCACAAGAAGGTTTTGAAGAATTACAAAATATCTGCAAAATAAAAATACAAGAATCAACGAGACAAAAGTTTCTTAGATATCAGCCCAATCCAATAAGCTTTTAAAGTTTATAAGTTTTTAAATTTACCGTCTAGTTTTAAGAACACGCAAATCGCAATAATCTGACTTAAACCCAGTTAAATTAGTCGGAAAATTTTCTAGCAAAATATCTAGTGTCTTATCTTTTCATGAACAGTTACATCTCAACCGTAACTACACTTCATGAACAAAAAATTTGCCGATTAACGTATTCAGTGAACCCCCTACATCATTAATGTTAATTATATCCAATGGAAAATGCATTTTATTAAATTACTGACCTCTAAATGCAGTGGCATTGTTTGGAACGGATGATCGAAACACTTGTTCTGAAAACAAAGGAAAAAATAATGAAATGAGAGGACAGGAAATTGTCCTATTATTTGGTACAACACATCTTCTGGTACACAGCGTAGTATGTCTTTTCTACATATGGGATACAACTCATCTACAGGGATACGATTCATCTGCAGAATATTTTTTCAGTGATTTAGACTCATGGTCTTCCCTGCAATACTTTTCAACTTGTTTGAAAATCTTAGCAATATATTTCATCATGATTCAATTGTTGCTACTCCATTATGACAATTTGAACAATGTAAGTGCAATTTAGGGAAGTGCAATTTTCAATTATTATCGTTATTCTGATCTTTATTTTTAGTTCACAGGAAAAATGCTTACTTTTGCAAAAAAAACGTGACTTGATCGTTCTTTCATTAGTATTCATCCAATTCACAAATATTTTTTCGACTCCGTCAATTTCTTCTTTAACCCAACCAGCGCGTACAGCCAAATCTAAAAATCAATACCAAAGATCTCCTATCTCCTTCCTTCTCTTTCCTAAACTACCAAAAATGTAACCCTTACATGATAACAAGGCATTTTCAGGAGAGATGCTTTTCATAGTTCCTCTGTCTGGTGGGTAAACTAATTCTGCTTTTAATTCTTCGCACGCCAATACCGCTTCCTCGTACGTCTTTTCCGTTGTCGACTTAAAGAGAAATACTTCATTAGTGAGATGATATTTAATGTTCTAATTTATCGAGAAGTCACTCTTTGATCTGCATGTCATAAAATAATTCATATTATAATATAATAGGAAAATGCTCGAAACAAGACAATATTTTTTTTCCAAATATTTTCTCATAAATAGACTATGCTAATGGAGATTTATGAATTTTATTCTATCACTTTTATGTTTTCTTCGCAATTGATTAGTGACACGCAAAAGAATAAACTAGATGACCAAACAACCCTGGAAATTTCCAACAGTTGTATGATTGAATCAAACTTTGATTTATTTTTTCATTTAAATAATAATAGGTTATCAGTGATGTAGCGTAGCCTAAATTTCATAGAGAAGTTCTAATGGAAAATTCAGTGAACTTTAGAAATAGATGATAAATAAATATCACTATTTATTATGATACTTGTAATTTCATAACTTGGAAATTTTCGTCAAAACAGTTATTTCTCGCATCGTCACTCCAGAAGAAAATAGACATACCGAGCAATAGAATGCGCTGTACCAATAAAACCAATTATCATTGTCGCAATTGAATTCTAAAATCTCTATTTTAAAGGGTGCGAAAAACATAGAAAAGATATCTAGCTAATTTGAATTATCAAATCTTTGCATGTACTGAGAATGATATCTTCATAGCATAGCTTAAGCTTTGCACTATTTGCCACATTTTATCTTGCAAAGAATTATCGAATTAGTTCTACGGCAATTCTAACTAAATCAAGAAATCCGATTCAATCAACCTCATAAAACTAAAACAGTACCAAAAAACTGGTAAATTTATTGGGCGAAATCCTTTAGAAAGAAATAGTTTTTAGACAGTTGAATTAAAGTACTATATTCGTTGAATCAAGAAATACATTCAAGAAATAAATGACTATAGGTCCGATGGAGCGAAACCTAATCAAACATATTCTCTTCTTAAGCAGATTTTTCCAGAGGTATATTTCGTTGTTTTTTCGAGCAAATCAGTTTTATTTCAATTTCTCAAGTAATAATCCTTACTACGTACCCTATAACAATTTTCTATCGAATAAACCAAAGCTAACCATTGAAACGCTGAACTTTGAGACAATTTTCATACAAATCACAAAATTCATCAAACCGACAAGCATCACATTCTGAAAAACAATTCACAGTGCAAAACGGTTACTTTCCTTCGTTTCATTTTCTTTTACTTGAAAAAAGAATAGATATATAATGCAGCACATCCATCGCTCTCATAGCACGATTAACCAGTAAGAACATTACAAAAAAAATAAATTATTTGCCATTAGAAGAAATCTATTTACAAACAGGTTTGTTTTCATTTTGAGCAGTGCATTGCTGAAGTAAAATTAATTGAAAACAAAGACTAACAAACTTAGTCAGTTTAACAATGAACAGTGAAATAATAAGCTTTATGATGACGGATGTGAAATGCCGGATAATTTTGTATTGGGCGCTTTATGCTGGATGGTTACATAAACTTGGGGCACCTCGGAATTTGAAAAAACCCATCTCTCATAAGGTAGCCTGAAGATGATGCTAAAGCATACCGACTAAATATTGTCGACAATAAGAGTAATACATTTAACTTACCTTGCGGCACGCTTCGTCGATACGTACATTCAAATCTACGACATACATATTTCACCACATTTTTTTCATAGTTACATTCTGACGACACTCGACAATCTAAAAAAACTTGGCTTAAACATAGTCTTTTACTTCTATCCTTTTCACTTCTTCAGTCTTTTATCCCTACTTTCTCCACTTCTTCAGGTACAACTTCAAGTATTTTATTATAAAATGAAAGGACTTATGGAACAGATAGAACTTGAAAAATAAGGAAAACACATCTAATCTGAATCAGTAATCTAGAAATTTTACACTTCCAACACAGGAAAACTCTAAATATTGAATAAAGTGCATTTGTGAAACTCTGAGAATGGCCAAAAAGAATTAAAGTAAGCAAATATATCGCCTCAGAGCTTGAAGCAAATATTCAACACACGTTTACCGATATTAAAGCTAAAGCGTGATCAAGTTATAGAAGCAGTACGTAGAATATCTCCTCTAAATGACACCGAATTTCGAGGATCCAAATTACTCTAAAAAGCTCTGCAAAATGCAACACCGGTCCAGCACAAAAACCCACTTTTATGAGTCAGTACCCATTTCCCTTGCACGCATCCACCATCTTTTCTATCGCAATACGAACGAAAAGTGCAGTCCATGTTGCTCTGGCAACCTAAAGTGTTCGCTATCTTTAACATATCGTTTCTAGGAAAACATGAACAAAAAAGCATCCACTTAAATAACTATGAACTTACGTCTTCTGACGGTAACCCAAAATGGATGGAAACAAATCCCTCTTATGCATGTACTATAACGAGAGCAGCTGTCGTTTGTACCACAGGCTGCAACGTATTATTATTTATTATACTGCTATGACTAATACAGTTTATTCTCAAATATCAATCTAAGTTTCTCGATCAGAAATTCAACACAATTACTTTTCCCCACTGAAGCATTTGCGCCTTAATAACCATTTTGCAATTATTTGAAACAACTATGTCCCCAAAGCTTCGCTCCCTCATTTATATACAATAATCTCTCCCAAAAAGGAACTTAAGAAGCACGCTAAGCTTATGAGGTACTATTGCACTCTCATATGGCTCCATGGAAGTAAACTTTTTTTATTTTTTTAAAAGCTTTTTATAAAAAATGACCGACATAATAACTGTAAGCGAAGATAAAAATCCATTTTTTTAAAACACTTTAAGACCACGTAACATACTTTTGAGTTCAGCCCATGCAAACGGTGGCGGAAGCTGACATACATATGAACGGACATTCTCTAACTCGAAATAGATTTCACGACACATAGCATTTTCAAAACCCGTTACTTCCGCACAAAACTCTGGCGCTGCTTGTTTGCATGCTAAAACAGTGCAGTAAGCTCACTTAAATGTAGATATGGCTCACAAACCGTGAAAATTACGCACATTATTTATTGCACTAATTAGGCTGTCGACAGTTTACATCTTCTAATTCCTGACTTGTGAGGTATTTTCCAGATTTGCAAAAATGTCTCATTAACGCAATATTAATTGAACAGAAAATCAAATTAAAAATTAAAAAATACGGATATGCATGAAAGATTCCACTGTAAATCTTTTATCAGTCATATCATAACACCTTTTATAAAAACCACATTTGAAACCAGGTGGGCAATGTGCATCAACGTAACAGCGACCTGAAAATACAAAAATCTACCGAACCACTGGAGTAAATAATTTTAAACTTAGACCCAATAATTCTCCAAAATTGCAGTATCACAGCCGTTACCAATATGTGTTCAATAAGTAATGTGGGATAACGTATATAGTTACTGGCATAGATGTAACACAATATGGACTGAGATTTCGAAATGTAGAAAAAGAACGAATC